TTTATTCAAAGACTGTAATACAACTTAAATGATTCGTGCTCAATCTTTCTTCCCCAGAATGTATTTTACTTGTTGATATAATATAATGTCGATGTTATTGTGTCAATAAAGGACTTTTTGTGAATCAATCGTTCGTCTTTGTTCACTGGGTTATTGTGACCCAAATACTAGTAATAACGATATCGAGTGCAAAAGACAATATAGAATGCGAGATTTATTAATGCGCTTCAGATATAGTCGCATTTTCCGCATTAATAAGTAGCTCGCATTATTTTATTGATTTACAGTAAATTACCAAAAAGTAACTTTATAGAAGGAAATTTGAAAAAAATGTTTCATTTTACAGATACTTACACACTAACTTTCATTGCTAGCCAAGACAATGTTTATAGACATATTAAAAACACTTTGAACACCTTTTCAATTCTTATTATGTGGGTATTTATATAGCGCCATAGTTTTCATATGATTTAACCTAAATTATATTTGATACAAAGGTTAGCTCCGCTCTGTTCTAATCATTAACACGTTAGAGCCGAGACCATTTTTCAGAAGGTACATATATACGTCTGAGAAGAGTTTTATGTACGGTAAAGATAGAAGAATCCGAGTTTATATTAGAATATTATAAATGTTTGCCTACAACAGCGCGGAAAACAATGGACATCACATTTGATAAAACATGTTAAACGAAAGTTTATATGGCTATTTTTCGTTACGACAACACATGTGCATGCCGCAGCTTTGTTTCGTCAAGAATGATATGTGCATAAAATGCAATGGTTTCCTGTCCGAATGTAGATGGAACAATTATTTCACAACTTTGAAGACCAGACTATAACAGCAATGCCCACTTTCAACAATCGACCGAGTATGGCAATCGTACCACCAATACTTTAACATAAGCTTACGATTGTCATAAGACAGCTTTCTGTACAAGTGCACGCCACTATCGATTAAGGAAACCATTAACGACTAACTCTCGTGTTGCACCAAGCATGAAACGTTGCGTGCAATACTGAAAAATGTATGGATAGCAACATTTTTCCCGTGAGAACGAGTTTGCTAGACAAAGGTACAAGATCTTATACCGAAACGTCGTAACTTCTAAAATGCCACTGAAAGAAGAAACACTGAGTGGTTCATCGTAAATAAGTCTTTGATTGAAGGTTGTGAGTGAGAGTGAGTATGGTTTTAACGCCACTTTTAGCAATATTCCAGCAACATCACGGTGTGTGAGTGGGTGTGTGTGTGTGTGTGTGAGTGTGTGAGTGGGTGTGTGTGTGAGAACCACAAACGTGCTTCACAGATTGTACCCATGTGGGGAATCGAACCCGGGCCCTCGAGCGAACGCCTTAACCACTAGACTACCCCACCGCCCCTTGGAGGTTGTAATCTATACTCAGTGTTATAACAGTAAAAGTTCATGAAAGAATTAATGAAACGCATCATCGTCAGCTCCAGAGAATACAAAAACAAAACAATCTCAATTGATATTTAATCGGTAGTTGATGGATTTTATTTTTGTTGATGAAACTAAAACTCAACCTACAGTGTTTTGAAATAGTGTGTAGCCCCTTTGCGACATATATACCTCCTATTTCTATTTGGAACTGAGCGCTTTGGAGAATATCTCAAGCTCGTTGCGACCAAGTGCTTAATGTTTTAAACCCACTATTTAAACGCGAGTTAACCTTAATGACCATGTAGCAATTACATCTTTAGGACGATGTGTCAACCGTCAGTTACATTACATTTTACATTGATATACATTTATATAGCGCTAATATCCAGTCTTGAGAAGACTGCTCAAGAGCGCTGCTGAACTCCGTATGCAATGCTGAACAAATGAGTTTTTAATCTCGATTTGAAAGTACTGAATGTCTGTACTGATCGAAGAGAGAGGGGGTAATTTGTTCCACAAAGCTGGGCCGACAACCTGAAAAGACCTTTCACCAAATGTCTTGGTCCGGTTGACTACAGTCTGGCACATGTGTTGTTGTGATGACCTCAGATGGCGTGTTGGTTGATATTCTTGCACAAGGTCTGAGAGATAAACTGGTGCCGTGTTGTGCAAGGCTTTGAACATCAGTACCAATATTTTGTAATGGATACGTTGTCGGATGGGTAACCAGTGCAATGTAATCAGAACAGGTGTTATATGCTCTATCTTCTTTGTGCGTATCACAAATGGCACTTAACGACCACGTGCACCGCACATGCATGGAAAGACAGGAAACAGGAGAATACAGCTGAGTGACCAACAAGGGTCAATTGTATACCAGTTAATACCATGCATTTGACTTGACGCGTATTGAGAAGACAAAGCACTACAATGTAGTTTGCCAAAGAAAAGAGTTTAAATACAAGAATCATGACGCTCAGTTCAACTTCTGTTTAACCAGAAATATAATCAGTTTGTGTCAGCATTAAAACGTCCAAGGGCGTGCATGTTTTCCTTTACTCCTTAATGTCGTTTCCTGATTTTGAACACATAACACACAGTTGTTCGTCCACTTTTCGTCGGAGGTAGTTGAACTTGATAAATTTAGAACCGAACCGCAATGAATGATAACGAACAGTTCACTTGAGATTCAAAGTTTGGCACAAACCAGACAACTGAGATATGGTTTTGGCGCTTCAGTCTCCAAGCAATTCATAAAGTCCATGAAATGTTAGGTGCATCCGTGTATCCATACACACAAGGAGCTTTCTTTCAAATGACTGGGCAATCCCGATCCTATCGATAATGTCAGTCATCAAAGGTTAATTTGGACAAAACATTTTGAGGGTGGGACTTCCCTGGTATTCCTCTAATACAATTGTTCAGACACAGCGCACGGCTCAAATGTTCTGAATCTATGAATGTTTATATGTTTATCTATAATCGTGATGGTATTATACATCCTATACAATATCACTCTTTTTATATATTACTACTAATATACATAATACTGTTTGGTTGGAAATTCAGCATTGTTACCATGAATTTATACAAATGATATTCCCGTTAAATGAACTCAGTAGAATATATGCTACCTGACCTGACCATGGTCCCATTTCCGGTGTGATTCTGATGTGTTGCCGCTGCATAATATTATTTTCAAATAATTGAAACAATCTTTTATAATCTTGTGCAGCTGGGATGAATAATAGCTGTCCCCCCAATATATCCATAAATAACTGATTATGATGGTTGTGGGGCTGTGGGGCTGTGGGGCTGTGGGGGTAGCCGAGTAGTCAGAGCGTTCGCTTGTCCAGCCGAGGATCCGTGTTCGATATTCGTGGGAATATCACTGGAATAACGCAAACATACAGGTTGACACTGTCACAGCGGGAAAGGTTAAATATGGAATCGTCTGAAGAAACCGACAGTCCTCCACTTCAACCGAGGTAGACGGACATAATTTTGGACACACTGAAGTCCTTGAATGACATGAGAAGTGGTCAATGTAGCCTGGAACCTGTGCTGGAGATAGGCCACCCTTGTCTGTCTTGGCGTTTTGATGCGTGGATGTCCTGCTCGTGGGCGATCTGCCACTTCATTATTGTTTTGATAACGTCACAACAGCGCTAGAATGAAGTTCCGGCCACTTCATTATTGTTCTGATAACGTCACAACAGCGCTGAAGTGATGACAGCGTCACAACAGCGCTGAAGTGATGTTCCGGCCACTTCTTTATTGTTCTGATAACGTCACAACAGCGCTGTAATGATGTTCCGGCCACTTCTTTACTGTTCTGATAACGTCACAACAGCGCTGTAATGATGTTCCGGCCACTTCTTTATTGTTCTGATAACGTCACAACAGCGCTGTAATGATGTTCCAGCCACTTCCTGATAACGTCCACTTGATGTTCCGGCCCATTATTGTTCTGATAACGTCACAACAGTGCTGGAAAGATGTTCCGCACTTCTTTATTGTTGTGAGCGCTGTAATGATGTTCCGGCCACTTCTTTATTGTTCTGATAACGTCACAACAGCGCTGTAATGATGTTCCGGCCACTTCTTTATTGTTCTGATAACGTCACAACAGCGCTGGAATGATGTTCCGGCCACTTCTTTATTGTTCTGATAACGTCACAACAGCGCTGAAGTGATGTTCCGGCCACTTCTTTATTGTTCTGATAACGTCACAACAGCGCTGGAATGATGTTCCGGCCACTTCATTATTGTTCTGATAACGTCACAACAGCGCTGGAATGATGTTCCGGCCACTTTATTGTTCTTTCACAACAGTGCTGTTTCCGCACACTTTTATGTTCTGATAACGTCACAACAGCGCTGAAATGATGTTCCAGCCACTTCATTATTGTTCTGATAACGTCACAACAGCGCTGTAATGATGTTCCGGCCACTTCGTTATTGTTCTGATAACGTCACAACAGTGCTGGAAAGATGTTCCGCACACTTCTTTATTGTTCTGATAACGTCACAACAGCGCTGGAATGATGTTCCGGCCACTTCTTTATTGTTCTGATAACGTCACAACAGTGCTAAAATGATGTTCCGGCCAATTCTTTATTGTTCTGATATCGTCACAACAGCGCTGGAATGATGTTCCGCACACTTCTTTACTGTTCTGATAACGTCACAACAGCGCTGAAATGATGTTCCAGCCACTTCATTATTGTTCTGATAACGTCACAACAGTGCTAAAATGATGTTCCGGCCTCTTTATTGTTCTGGCCAATTCTTTATTGTTCTGATAACGTCACAACAGTGCTGGAAAGATGTTCCGCACACTTCTTTACTGTTCTGATAACGTCACAACAGCGCTGAAATGATGTTCCAGCCACTTCATTATTGTTCTGATAACGTCACAACAGTGCTAAAATGATGTTCCGGCCAATTCTTTATTGTTCTGAATGATGTTCCGGGCCCATTCTTTATTGTTCTGACATCGTCACAACAGCGCTGGAAAGATGTTCCGGCCACTTCATTATTGTCGACCGTCACAACAGCGGTGTAATGATGTTCCGGTGACAGTGGGAATACGCAGCCACCTGATGTTGAGACATTCCCCCATGGACCATTCTTATAGCCTTAAGACGTTCTGCAGTCGTGGCATGATATGCGCTTCAATAGCCTTCTTATCAATTTTTAACGATCAACCGTTAAAGGCATTTTGTCTGGCATTTTTTTTAAAGGCAAGTTTGGTAGATTTTGTTTACTTCCATTGTCAACTGTGTACCGTCATAGAACTGGGAATATCACTGGTGACATGCGAATATTGATTTGTTAACGGTTTAAGTGGCTTCGTATCATGTTTCTATTCTACCCATTACGACCAAAGTGGCATTGTATATTTTTGTCATTATATATTCATTACATGTAACATAGTTTAAGAGTATACCATCGTGTCCCAATGGACATTGTGAGAGGACTCAACACAGTCAGCGGCACATCACATCTCACAGTCGAACTGTACTCAATCACTCGGACTCAACAAAATGATAGCTTTTGTCTGGTTTGTAGCTGTTATTTTGTGTCCACTACTTCAAGGACGTCCCTGTTCCTGTTCTCTGTGTGAGAAAGCCCAACTTGTGCGCTTGCCTGACTTTGACAATTTATTCGTGAACGAGCACCTGCTGTGGAATGACCTAATGGATGGCGTAGCGGCGTGCGTCAGACGATGTTTCCTTGACACTCGCTGTCGAAGTGTGCAGGTGAACAGGAACTCGAGCAGATGTTCGGGTCATGCCACAGCCTTTGCCAGTCCTACCAAGATATATCCACCTGCCGCTGTTTCACAGTATTCAAGGCTCTACCTACTGCCAAAAGGTAATTGTCAAGTTTGTGTTACGACTGCTTCTTTTTTAACAAAACACATCTTTAAAACAGGTATGTTCGAATCCACGATTCGTCCTGACTTTGTTTCTATGTTTGCCGGCGCTGTACTGGTGTGTTACACCGTAGAAGGTTCATTCCATTACGTGCATCACCATCTGTAAGCTGACTTAAGTTCGCATTGAACCTGCAGAAAAAGCGAATGTTTTGACGAAAACAAATAACTGTATTTTGTAGGAAAATGAAAAACCAAATTGTTTGTAATTACGACTTACCTTATCTAAACAGTTTATATAAATATAGGTATATAGATAGAAAAATCGTGTACAATAAATATGATATTTAGAGAAGCTATATTAGACACAATAATATATATGACACCACGTCTCGTGTCAAAACACGTGGGACTCTCGCACTTCCCTTCACACGGTTAGCGGTAGATCAAAGCTTCGTGCGGATAGGTGAGTCAATTTTGTGTTGATTTAGCCGGTTTGTTTGTAAAATGTACCGTCCGGAAACGGAAACCGAATATCCGTTATAGACAGTCACTTTTATAACGTAAGAGATTGGTTTTTTCTAAAAATTGACCGGAAGGCGAGGTTTCCAGATATCTGGGGTCCGGGTATCCGAGGTCTCACTGTATTCATATTGACTACGTTCGGACTCATTAACACAACAATAAAGCATGGTCATATATTCAGAAGTGACTGCTCAGGAAACATCTGAAAAATAGGATAAATGATCTAACCATTACATGAATATATTATGTATACATTAGATAAGTATAGTTATAGTTTTGAAGCTTGTTATATAAGTTATATTAGCTGTATGTATCTGTAAAAAAAAACATTTCTTTTTCTGTCATGATCATCATTTCGGCTCAATACACACATGACAATTATATAAAAAGCAGACTGATGTAATGGCAACATACGGACAGTACGCCCATTGCCAGACATGTTTGTTGAACATGACATTAACCATTAGGCCACCCCACCGCCCCATATATATGTAAGTAACTCAGTATCGGCAGACAGTTGACCTGATTTTGGAATCAACATGGAGACATTTCCGTTGTGGTACATTTCAAAGTGACGTTAAAGGGATGGCTGATTGTGATCATGATAAACAGTGAGTGAGTTAATATTTAGCGTCACAGCGGCAATATTTCAGCCATATCGTGACGAGAACAATTCAATTTATATCAATATTAAATCATCGAAGGGCAGTACAAATCACAGACATAAATTTAAAACTAGTAAGTTATCGTAAAATTAAATCACAATAGACAGTACAAAATAAAAATCACCAACAACTGAAGGTAGATCACTATACTTGGGTCCATGGGGACTTAAAGTATTTTTACTACCTGCATGGACCCTAGCTGGATTTACACCATTCCTTCAGCCACTGGCGATTGTGTTGATCGTTTTAGCCATTATTAAAAATACCAAATATTCTACGATTCAAAGTTTTGTAGAGCAAAATTGACCTTGAAGTTTTGGGACTTATGTACATGATAAACAGACGCCAGTGGATACACCTGGTAACTGTAACCATGATTCGCATAACCCAGAGTGTCAAAAGAGCTGTGTTCCCGGTAGAGAACCTTGACACCCTCCTGGTGGTGAAGGTGATCATGATAAACGGCCTCCCATGAATGCTCTTGAAAGGTTCTGGAAACAGTTGTGAAAGTTATCGTTATCAGTTAAAGATACAAATGCAGCAGAAAGAGGTCGGGTGGTCCTGGCACAGTAAGGTTCATTATCAATTCAGGTACCCTTGTCCCTCTACACGCACCCCAGACAGCGAATGGACTTCTCCCAGGAAGCGCTGCCAAAAACTTTCCATAAGAAAATAGAAACTCCCCAACACTACAGCTTTCTGTATTACCCAGAGACCAGAGTGTCAGAATAGATGTCTCCAGTGGTGAACCCAGGCGCTCTCCCGATCTGCGGTACCAACACCAGGGGCACGGAGAACAATGAGGAACCTGAAGACAGTGTACTTGGGATGCAATCAAGGCAATGCATTTCCGCATATTTATGCTTTTTCTGAATCTTGTCAGTCATGTTGGTGTCACAGAGACGGAAAATTTGGAAAACTTGGCTTTGTCAAAAAGGAAAGAGTCAGGTCTGATGGAAGGAATATCCCTGAGGCTGTATTTAGGCCTATTCCAAGGAAGTTAAAAAGCATAATTTTCCATGACATATTCAGGGTCGTACAATGGATGGAACTCGGATATCAAAGCCATAAGCATGCGGAAGGTAATAGAACAGTCCGTACTGAGACATGACATGGCAAGCCGACTGATCGCAAGACACCCATCCAGCTTTCAGAGGTTGTGGGCAGATTCCTGTTACTGTTCCTCCTGAATGACATTTGTCTTACTCTAACACCATAAAGAAACAGTGGTGATTGGGGAAATAGGTGCGACAGGGAAAAATAAACGATCAGTAAAGCAGAAAGTATGTGTATGGAAACAGTAGTCATAATGCAGGACACATTTGTTTTCAGTATTTGAAGACACATAGGTAGAGATTGGTACATAGATCTATTGCATAATTTGAACGTTTTGTCGTATCAACGGCTGTGAATATTTAAGAATACGGATCTAGAAATTTAGGATACACGTAGTTTATGATATTTCATTTCAGCTGCCCACTTCATAGGTAGTGCCTGTACCATTGATGGCGACTGTCATGTGGCGACCTCTGCGTGCAATGATGGAGTGTGCACCTGTCAGATTGGGCTCTGGTTTTCCCCCTCACAACAGGCCTGTGTCACAGGTAAGCATCACTTATCATACAGGGACGTAGTTCAGTGATGAAGGTCTTTCATTCCCTATACTGACATGATTAAAACGTGAGGTCAAATCTATTGACCATCTCAAGGCATTCTGGTCGCTGCCCAAGATAAGTTACTCCCCACTCGTAACCGTTAATGTATAACTTACAATGTAAGCATGAAATGTAGATTATGTAATAGGTTTATTGAGATTGTCTAACACCTTGTGAGTGGATGGCCAGCACTGGCCCAGACACAATATCTTAAGAGACAAGATGGCTTTGCTTTGTTCTTTGTATTCCCGTCGTCGCCATGCTTGTGGTTCTGTCGCCGAGGTTCATTCATGGTACGATACAGAATATGCAGAGAGTGTCATGGAGTGTGACAATTACAAAATTCTTTGGAAGAGACCCATGTCGCCCCCCAACAAACCTGACTTTTGACAGCAATGTTATTGACACGATTCCAAAAAGAAATGGCCTTTGAAATGTCTAAGTGCATCTGTCGTTTGCCTCCAGATTGTTCTAGATGCAGTTGGTTTGGCATCTCCTGATCTCTTGGCCAATCGCCCCTTTCCGTAACCTCCAAGAAGATTCCATTCGTCACCACTCGCCCCTTGCTTGTGTGAAAATACAACAAACAAATCAGATCGCTCGTAATGATTGTGGCGCTTTGATAAGTATAATCCTGAGTACCTAAGTCGTTCATGGCATTGTGTGTTTGTTTAAAAAAAATCATGAAAATATTCTCGGCGTCATTAATGAAGGGTCAAGCTATTGGATACACTATTTCTTAAAGGTAAAATCTTCCTTTTTGTTTGAAATATATACAACTGAATGTTTTACAAACTATCTTAACAGTATGGAAACCACATCAGCCTGTTGAAATGTCATTATTACGTTTTTTAACGCCCGACACATTCTGTTACAAATGGCACATTCTTTTCAAATTGTCAATATGGAAATCCACATGCCATTTAATGTCAATGATTTGCACATGCAAGTCGCTCTATCCATGGAAAGCGGAGACAATACACGTGCATTGATGCTTTTTCACTGCTGTTCCCTGTCGATATACCTGTTTGAAATCGCAGCTCAAAATGAGACGTTTTTTGACACCTGCTGAAAGGGGTCAAACTATAGGCCTTTTGGAATCTGGTCAAACTCAGCGGCAGGTTGCTGTCCGCTTTAATGTGAGTCAGAGTGCTATTGGTTGACTATGGCAGAGATTTCAAGCCAATGGGTCCGTGGAATATGCACGTCGACAAGGTCGACCCAGAGTCACAACCGTCCGAGATGACAGGCACATGATTAACATTGCGTTACGTAACAGGTTCCTTAACGCCCACAGAACAGTTCAATGTTAACAATGTAAGGATATCCAATATAAGGATATCGTCGACGTTTAAGGGCAGCAGGACTCCGCTGTATGTGACCTGCAGTTCGTCCAACACTAACACCACGTCACAGGCAGGCGCGTCTGACATGGATTAGACACCATAGCAACGTCAATGGTCTCGTGTGCTCTTCACAGATGAAAGCAGATTCAATTTGTCCTTCCATGATGGTCGGCAGAGCATTTATAGTCGCGAATTACAAATGCAACTGAGGCCACGTATAACGGATTTGTGGCAGGGGTCGGTCATGGTTTGGACAAGGATAACGCCTATTGGACGTACTCCTGCACGTGGTCGACAGTAATCTTACCGGACAGCGTTATCGGGAAGAGATATTCTGACTCCTATACATTCCTGCTAGCTATGCATGCTTTTATGGACGACCCTGTTTACTGCATATGTATTTTCCCCCTTCTTTAAATTTTATCAAAGATGTTTACTTCTATAAAAGAAAGAAAGAAAACATAAATTTAAAACAAAACAGCAATACAATATACGAGTGCTTCGGTGATATATATGAATACTATTGGAATCAAATAGGAATAGCGTTATCGTTCTTGTTTGAAGTAACTCTGATCATGCGCCAATATGAAATCCTTTCAGAGGGGCACCAGTCGCTATTCGGCTTGCCCCGGAATAACACGAGTTAGTCACGAATGTGTTGGGGCGACTACATGTTCTCCGGCAAGGGGGGCGGTGGGGTAGCCTAATGGTTAAAGCGTCGGCTCGTCGACCCGGGTTCGAATGCCCACATGGGGACAATGTGTGAAGCCCATTTCTGGTGCCCCCCCGCCGTGATATTGATGGAATATTGCTAAAAGCGGCGTAAAACCCAACTCACTCAGGTGTGTTCGATTAGGCAGCACTTACTGGGACAAGTCCAATAAGCGATTTTTATCAAATTATCTTCCCTTCAGTAACCCGCTGGGTGAGCTGACAGTCCAACCTTAAACTGATGCGTGATGCGAACTGTACCGGGTTACTATTACACTCAGAGACAGTTTACCAGTATACATTGTGGCCTTCACCTTCACCAATAACGTTCACGCTGGTACATGAACAGTATATCTTTTCACTTAAGCGATGATGTAGCAAGTGTTGTGTCCTGAATTATCTGTTCTATGATGCATCACGGATGACAATGGTTGCTTATACGAGTATTGCAATAATAAATCACCTCATGGCCGTTCGAAGCGAGGCCGTGGAATTCGCTAATTGCTCATTTCAAGGTGTTTTGTCGTTTTGGTAGCCTTTTGCAATCGGAATTTTAGCTTGCATTTGATGTTTTACTATCAACGCTTAAACCTACAGCGTATTTTCGTGGCACTGGTTCTCAAATCTCTTCCGTATTATGGCCGAATAACAATGCATACAACTCAGCGGGTAGCTGATGCGGTACGCGAAATGTGAAGGTCTTGTATGCAACGTGTGAATTTCGTCGGCCCGTACATATTGAGGATTTTATCAACACAAATACTTAGAGTGAGTGAGAAACTATGTTCAAATAATTGTACAATATACAGTCACGGACAAACTACGACTACAGTTACTCACAAATGATAATACAATGTTCAAATACAATTTAAAAATAGAGTGAAAATCACTGAAATCTATCTGTTTTGGTAACTGAATGGGTTTTTCGTGCATGGTGTGTAAATTATTGTATGGATGAATGGTGGACATTTCATGCAGATTTCTACAATAACTGCTTTTCAATTATGATAGATTAATGGTAAATTGTAAAATTGCATTCTAATAATTTTGAATCAAAGAAAAGGATATTTTTCAGACACAGAAGTGGCTATACTAGTTTAAGAATACATTTAAGGGTACTTTCCAACTTCGACTTTTCAACATTTAAATCAAGAACAACGTATTTCTTACTGAATTTAAATTTCTATAATGACACTGATAATAAATGTACACTACAATGTTAAATTTCACATGCATGACCTTTCAGCAGTCATAAGTACAATGTAATATATGTAAAATATACATAGATGCATAAAACACATCTACATGTGATGATTATGAGGTCACATTTAAATTTATGTCATTATAACGATATTTGATTTTAAACACAGTTTTAATGATACTTTTATTCCTGACAAACATACATTGTGCTGCAGGTATCTTTGAGTTCTGTTGAATGAAAATCAGGATATAAAGTTATAGCTAGATAGTAGATGCTCTGTAAGACACAATATTATCAACATCATGTTACCCAAACAGGAATATACATGTCATTTAATTCTGTTTAAGTATCATACATATCCACTGGGTTAGTCAGTATGACTTGCTATTTGTACAGTCAGAAGTCATGTCAGTGATTGGTGTTCGTTCACTGCCAATATGTAATGAATTACGTTTTAGTCACAGACTAAACTAGGAGAAGAGACATGATACGAAGCTTTTCAGCTACTCTCTCCTGCAGAGATTATATTACATGGCTTTCGAATGCTGTTTTGTGAATTTAACTGTCATGTGTGCAATATCAACGATTTGGGGTTTTGCTTGTTACACAGAGTGTTCTACCTTGGGATCTGGACTTGTTCGTTACCCTGGATACGCAATCTGGAGAAATGATGTGAGTGAGTACACATCTCTGGAAGAAACGTCCTGCCCACAGCTCTGCAGGGACACGTGCCAAAGCATTGAATTCGACGGAGAACGGAATCGCTGTATCATCAACACCGCCACGTACCTCCGTGTGAGCTCGACAGATCAGGGTCAACATCCTCAATGGGCGTACTACCAACGTAACTGTGCTGCATAGACACAGCTGGCAAAGGGTCAACAACAACACTAAAGCAGATTTCGTAACCTAAAAGAAGACGGTAAATGTGGCTATTGACATAGATCTTTCTGTCCTTGATCCATGGGGCATTTGTAACTTTTCCTGGTCACCACGGATGTAGTCACATCTCCACTATGAAGTTCAGGACTATTTATCAAAAATATAAACTATAGCTTCTGAAGTTTACTGAGAAAAAAAAATGTGAAATGATGGACTTGATCGTTGGTAACACTAGGATAAACATTGGGGATAATTAGGCGTCGTTTGTTGATTTGTGTCTTTAGCTTATGCACATGAATAGTGTGTGAGTATTGTTTTCTTTTCTATAATATTTTTGATGACACATGAACAGAGATTTCTGGTAAAGTTAAAACAAGGTCATTTGGACAAGACGTTTAACTTTAAGTTAAGTTATATGGATGATCTAATACCGTTCCATAACCACCAAATAGTCAATTCTTTTCTAGTTCTACATATATACACAGTATGGCCTTCAGGCATAAATAAAAACACAAATTTTGGTTAGGTAATCCGATTGCCTTTCCGAGTACATGCATTTGAACACACCTACCCCAGTTCCGCACCAAATGTCAGCTGCTTGAAATTATCTCTGCACACATTCAACATTGTGTTAAAAAAACAGCACTTAACAATGAAAAGAATGGTCAGATTTAATTACTGGATGGATGTACAATAAAAAAACACGCAAATCGTACACAAATCATTCGATAACAGCTGTCAGATGATTCTGCCAGCACTGAACTTAAGGCTCCCTATGAAAAGTGCTTTTTAAACTACGGAATTTGATTTGGTGAAGATCTGCCCTGGGTCAGTCTGTGGTTTATGTACTGTACATACAGGTACCTTCTCAGAAAAAGATGGATGAAGTATTAATACCGAAGGTGACTTGGTGTAGTATAACCTTAACAAGAAAGAAAGTGTCCAGTGGGATCGCCTAGTCGGTCTCATTTAAATTACATTTGTGTAGAGATTGGGGGCAAGCATATGAATAGTGAATGAGTATTGTTTGACAATGCATCTTCTCAAGAATCTTCTCGATGTCATATGAATATGTTAAAACAAGATAATTTAGACAAGACGTTTAGTGTTCAGTTATATCACAGATCTACTAGCGCTCCATGACTATCAAATATCTAGGATACTTTTACAGTTGAGCCAACATCAGGTGTTATCACTAACTGACTAAAAACATACAGTCGACTGCTTTCAGGAGAGAAAGCTTTTTGTAGCTACGGAAAAGGTGTTATCGCGTCTGGATATGTAGATATGTATTTTGTCGTTACATATGTTGTTTTATCTTACCTCACAGAAAATGTCGCTTTCTGATTGGCTGAGCGCTCTTCTATTATTTCCAATATACCCCACTTTCAAGCGAGTAACATTTCAATATACCCCGCTGTCAATGGCAACTCATTCTGTACTTCGTGGTAGTAATTCTTTATCTGGAATAACATTGAATCACGTATGGTGTACGGAAATTACCGATGTTTTGCGAATGCAAATCGATGGAAGGGAGATAACTCTAAATCAGCAAAGTCCAGCGATGGCTACAAACAGATTTGTACCCGTGCTTCAAACAATTCAAAATTAACATTAAGGTGTGCGGTAAGATAAATACGTTGTTCACTGGTCACTCGGGGCCCATGGGTTGATGTACCCTCGATGTTTGTTTAAGTTCCCCTCGCCCTTCGGGCTCAGGCAACATAAACAAACATCAAAGGTACATCAACCCATGCCCCCCTCGTGACCAGTGAACAACTTATAATATGTTGTTGATGGACATGTTTGTACACCATCACGGTGGATATGTAGTATATGTTATGGGTGGATATCAAGGTACAAGTTGTGGATGGATATGTAGCTAAGCGTTGTCGGTGGAAATGACACACCTCACGACAAAGTTGAACAGATAATAACCAACTATTCTTGTCAAGGTTGTGAGACAGACAGGTTAGAAGCTTTCAGTCGGCGAGGTGATATGAAATGTTAAACAACAAAATTAATCGTTCGACAACAGTAAGGACGGAGCTGTCACCAATCTTAAGAACACCTCAAGCCGCGGCAAAGCCCTGATAATGTACGGGCTCATCCGATCGGTCACAGGCAGTCAAACCAGGATAAACCACGGCCACTCTTCGGTACGTTTTCCCGTAACGACGAAAGTATAACTGTTCTCAAGTTCCGTGACAGGAAGTGCAAAAACCGACGTGACAAATGACCTTACTAAACTCTAAAGTTAGACACTTGCCGATCTTAAAAACAAAGGTCTGACTGGTTTTTTTTTCAAGAACGTCAAGCTGATTCCTTTCCTAGCAGGGAACCCCCTAAGATCAGCACTGGTCTTTCTTGATAAGCCCGTGCCAGCCACCCGTCTAATACCCGTAGTGCCCTCTTGCCACAGGCTCGATCTGCTACATCCCAACCTTCTGCCTATTGCTCCGGGAAACGATAAATGGTAGTATTACTTCTCCTTCTGTTAACGAAGTTACAAATCACTAGAAACTGACAAATGCCTGCCTAGAAATGTTTGTAAGTAATATTCTCGTAGCTGCTGAATGATGAAAAAAACTGGTGTAAATGCTAACAAACAAAATAATGAAGTTTACAGCTGGAACTGTGTACGGACTTAGCGTTAGGCGTTATTTAAGAAGCATAACAACTCCATAATGAAATTGACCACCTCAAAACGACCTTCATCACCCTCAGCGGATATCCCAAGAAACTTGTAGAGCGGACTAAAGCCACCACCCTCCAGCCACAAAATCACAGTCCACCCAAATCCGAACCAGCTCCCATCCGAATCAATATCCCTTACCAATGCCAGATTAGCCATCATATCAGTCGACTCGTTAGAAAAACTGCCAGTGTTGATGTGGCATTTTATTCCCACAAAACCTTAAAAACCATCCTGAAAGCGAATGGAAGAGGTAGCAGCAATCAGTGAAAACCCAATCCCAGAGGAGGTGTCTACAAAATTAGTTGTGATTGTGGAAGCAGCTATATTGGAGAAACATGTCGGCCCTTCAACATAAGACTAAAAGAACATAAAACTTCAGTTGGAAAATCTGATCTCAAATCTGCCCTCTCAGAACACATCGTTAACAATCCCAACCACTCTGTCAACTGAAAACACACCGAAATCCTGCTTCCAACATCAGCAATTGGAATTGTGAGTCAACCAACATAAGAAGATTAGTGCCTGAGATCAACAGAGATCAAGGGGTTTACCTCCACAGCGCCTGGTTCATCACCCAGAAATCATAGACTCTCAAACGCAATCTGCTTTAACCACTCTGCTATGTAAACACACCCTTGCCCTTATTGTAAAACATACCCTATCATTGTATTTTGCTCTTTGATCTCACTGCATTGTTTGTACACACTTAATTATACCTCCTTTTTCCCTTGTATATACTCAGGTGACATATCTGGCTTCCTGTACATCTATATATATACTGTACTGTTCACTATCACCTTTATTTACCTGAAGAAGGGGCAAGAACTAGCCCAGAAACGTTGTGGAAAAATAAACCAAGAAGTTGTTATCCATAAGATTTGTCTTGTATTACTACACCAACTTCTAAATGCCTTTGAAGAATTTCGTGTGATCTGAGATTGGCCAGAAGGTATGAGCATTTTAAGACTGCTTCCAATAGCTTTGAAGAAATTTGAGAGAGTAGCGATATTGCTAACCATGAACAATCTTCTCCAAGACTTTCTAGTTGGCAAGTATACTGAACCGCAAAAGAAACGCAAGTCAAAATCCAGATTTATAAAAACTTTACTTTTGACAGATAATGCATAAAAACAGGTACATAATAACAATCAACACGTATTGCATGATTATTGGGACATGTCAGTCAATGCATGGAAACATTTTTGGTTTACTTTGCATTTAGGATTAAATCGAAATTGATCCAACAAGTCAGTAGCGCGTATGTCCACCTCGTGCATTCACTACAGCTGTGCACCGCCTGAACAGGGAGTGAATCAGACGGTTGACAAAGGCCCTACGGATTGCCGCACATGTCCGGATGATGGCCTGGAGTTCTGCTGCAGTTGTCGGGCGTGGTCGGACTTCATTCAGTCGTCTCTGCACCTCGACCCAAAAATGTTCGATCGGGTTAAACTCGGGACTGACAACAGGGCATGGCAGTAGTCGGATGTTGTGCTGCTGGACAAATGCCTGAGTGACTCTAGCAGTGTGGGGCCTGGCATTATCTTGCTGGAAAATGTGTTGCTGGTGTCGGACGAAAAATGGCACAACCTGGGGTCGGAGGATCTGGTTGATATAACGTTGGGCAGTGACTTCATTTCCCCGACCTGGCCCAATATTCTGGAAGAATACTGGCCCTAATCTCTGATTCAGGCCAATCGCTGCCCATACCATAACGCTTGGACCTCCCCATGCATCAACTTCCATTACACATTCGTCAGCAAAGCGTTCACCTCGTCTTCGCCATATTCGAACTCGCCCGTCAGCATGAGAAATGCTAAACCGACTTTCATCAGAGAACAATACCAGTCTCCACTGTTGTTGACGCCACTTTCGATGCAACGTAGCCCACTACAGACGATTCTGACGATGTCTCTGTGTATCTCCAATAGTCTGTCGGGCAGTCTCGTTGGCAGATAAGAATCAATCCCCCGATGTGCGAACGTTGAATGTGTCGATCTTGCCGTGGTGTTGTGACTCTCGGACTTCCAGGCGGTTGGCGGTCAGCAGTGGTCTGTGTAGAAGCAAAACGTTCCTGAAGACGGTAGATGGTCGTTATTTGCACATGGAATGCATTGGCAACATCTGCAACACTCTGTCCGGCTTCAAGACGGCCGATGGCTTGTTCCCTCTGTTGCGTCGTTAACCTTGGCATTCTTGGTGGGCGTATGTCGGGTGTGATTGAAACTGATTTGAGGGCATATTTATATCCCTATGTGTCCGTGACAAAATGCGCATCATGATTGTCATGAAAAACGTCTGCAACCACATCCCACGGGCAATTCAATTGCTGCGTTTTGGCGATGTGCAATATCCAGGAAAAATCACCAAACAGAACATGAACATTACGAAACTGTTTTTTCACAACAAAAGTGACCAATGTATAGTTACACTATAATATTTAACAATATTCTGTCGAATATGTATTAATTTTGATAAACTTGCGTTTTTTATGCGGTTCAGTATATTAAAGATAAATTTCAGAAATCCAAGCGGGCTGTGGACAGGGATATTTCACG